CAGCAGCGCCCCCCCCCCCGAGGGTTCTCCAGGTCCTTGCCGTTAGCACCTTGCCCTGCAAGGGGCAGTCGAGCACGGGGCAAAGAGCAAAAAAGAAGTGGCACTCGCTGATGTAGGCCGGTATGCTGCTGATGGCGCTAGCTTGGTGGAGGCATTCCGTCTCATCGGACACTTTGCCTTGACACAGTTGCGGGCATGAGAAATAGTCGTACCAGAAATACAATGTCTGCACCTGGAACTCCTGCATGCGAAGACGCTTGGCCGCTGGGACCACGCCTTCTGTAATGAAATCCATTGAAAGAGCTCCGGTGCTGTTCAGGATGCGTTTCAATGCATTCTGTAGGGTATGTATCTGTTTGAATTCGGGATCTGGGTGATCCTTGGCAAGCCACTGGTGTGAAACGAACGCTGCCCTGCCCAATTCGTCGCTGAAGACAACGAGCTCGCCGTTGGCCTTCAAACGGCGCACGCCGCCCCAAATCCCGAAACTACTGCGGCTTAGGGCCTTTGGGGTTAGCATTTCGGTTCTTTTAAGCCTTAATTGGCCGAAGCCTATAAAAAAATATATATATATATATATATGTTTGCATATCGCCTTGAGCGATCGGTGATGAAGAAACCCTACCATCTGCTTATATGTAGTTATAATCCAGTTTAAAATGCTTGTTTCGCTGCTGTACTTTGGGTACCGCCCTCAACCTGTAACAATCTATTTTCGGTATCATATATATATATATACACATACATACATGCCTATGTATTCCTCTAATCATCTATTTGCTTATCTATTCATGTATTTATGCATGCATACATACATACATGCATACATAACATGTAAGGGGTTTGGAGGAAGAGCTTGAGAGACAGAGACAGGGGTCTTCATGTGAGGAATGTGAAGTGGCGTACTCTAGCTCTTCCGGAAGCGCTGCATGCAAGTCTCTGTCAGCCTCGCAAGAAAGCCTTCTGTCGGAACCTTCAGACACCCTCCTGTCGCAGTTTTAGCAAAGAAGAAACCATCCTATATCGACCCCGAACGGGCCGTTGCAGCCTTCAACTTCTCGTGGGGCTCGACTTGTGTCATCTTCAGCAGCACTTCTGCGGTGACCGTGTACATGGGGAAGAGCATCGGAGCGGCCTCAAAGAAGGAAGCACCCAAAGATCACTGCTAGAACATCGGCTCAACGCGCCGGCACTCTAGAAGCACACTATACGGGCTTTATGCTTTTGAATTTGGACTCCCGGATCGCGGAGGCAGGACTTCTGCTGATCTACATGAGGTGCGCCGAGCGGCGTCTGCATCGTGGGGCAACGAGTGGCCATAGATTTCGAGCGGCACCCGCTGCTTTCCACGAATGCAGGAAGACATGAGCGCAATGGGCAAGCTGAAACTGAATAACGAGCCCAATCCTCGCCCTTAGAAACAAGATTACGGCTTAGGGCAGCTTAGTAGCCTTATGTTGAGTGCAATGTGAACAAGCTGGCTCACAGGATGCCAAACCCAGCAGCTCTGATTCCAGAGTTGCCAGAGACTTTGGGCCGAGATGCCCTCGCGTCGTGCCGGGAGGAGACGGTTGTCAAACTTGCAAAGACCTGTATATACGAAAGAGACGAACGATAGTAAGAAGAATAGCCAGTAGTAGAAGAACCAAGAACTATAATTAGCAATAGCCATAACAATATTGGCAATAAATAAATAAATATATATATATATACAAATAACAACCGTAATAACAAAACAGTAATACGAACAATACCACTACTGCTGCTACTACTACTACTACTACTACTACTACTACTACTACTGCTACTACTACTGCTACTGCTACTGCTATTGCTACTACTACTAATAATAATAATAATAACAATAATAACAGTACTTATAGTAACAAAACATCTATGAAAATAATAACAACAAAAATGTAATAATTGTATACTGCTATTTGTGAGACTACTTGCAGGAATAGCTGCCTGGCATTATGCTATGCTAGGCTAGGTTGCTTCTACCTGCTTTGATGTCTATGTCGGTTCTACTAAGCGACACTAGAACTGTCTTGTGATCTATGCCACACTACACTGAAGTACTGCTACGTGTGTATATAATATCACTGCTTCAACCGTATGTTCTCTTTTGTGGCCTCATGCCCATAAACGAACCCTAGGATCCTTAGCTCTAAAGCCCTAAACCCTAAACTCCCAACCCTTTCACCGCAAAACCCGGAATCTGAACCCTAGATCTCGAAACTTAAACCCGAAGCCCTCATAAAACCTTGGTGGTAATCCTTCTAGCAACCGTTGTAGAGCCCCTGCAGTAACCCACTGAAGCCCTAGATTTCTAGAGGTCCAAAGCCCAAAGCACTCTCAACAGCCAAGCTCCATGCGCTGAACACTGCCGACATGCCCGCCCCTGCTGCAGGGGCTTTCGCCGCTGGGGCACCCTCCTTGGGTTGGGATTTCAGGTAGTGGCGAGCGGGTGGCGGGAACTAGTGGTTTCGATTACCAACATTATTACCATGACTATTTCAAGTATCGCTACTATCCTCAGGTTGAAAATATTGCGTAAGTTTGGGCATTGCTTGCATTTGTTGCCAAACCTTCGACACAGGGAGAGGCCTTTCTGGTCTTCTTCGGTTCTACGTGGGTTTAGGGTTTGGGGGCATTAGCGCTAAAGGGTTCAAAAGGGTAATGCTAAACCCTAAACCCGAAACCCCGTAAGGTTTATGGGTTAGGGCTGTACATTACAGTTACAATTTTCAGGTACTTGGGTGACATGTCTTAGAGAAGCACAAAAGCCATGAGGTTGGGATATCCAAATCCTCTCCATATGGATTATGGAAAGCCTATAGGGTTTTGGGTATATTAGACTATACTTATCGGTAAATACTAAGGCCCCCTATATTACGTTTGGTGGCGTTTTTGGTTCCCGAATCTTTCGGTTCCGGGCTTGGCTCAGACCTTCGCCTTGAAGCTTAGGGTTTAGGGTTTGGGATGGTACCCTTATAGAAACCATTATAGCCTTTTTTAATACCTTCAAGGAGCCCAAAAGGGATATCTGGTTGAAGGTTTAGGGTTTAGGGTTTAGGGTTTAGGGTTTAGCTATGAGGCGGCATGACAGCGACTCGGGGACTTCTAGAGCAGATGCCCGTCACTGTTCCGAGAGTTGCATCGAGTACTTATACTTGAAAGCCAAAAGAGAGATCACAGAATTCCGGAATAGCACTGTCGCGCTGCTATGAGAACTATCATGCTGCAAAACCATAACACTTGCACGAATCCCGAGCTCCTGGCGATTTGGAAAATCAGGTGACTTCGTAAAGGTTAGTAATTATGACAAAATTACAACTAAAATTACAACTATCATAATTGCCTGGCTATTGGTAGCCCTAGTTATTAAGTCCCATGATCCTCCGAGCATGACCAATGTAGGGGACTCAATGATTTTCAATAGGGTTTGGGCTCCTTTATAGTAGGACTATGATAAGGGATCCTACGGAATACTAGTCCCTAAACCCAAAACCCAGGCCCCCATATCCTTTCTTCTGCAGTAACCGGGCCCAAAACAGTTCAAACTTTCTACCAAAGACCAAAAATATCAGGCACACATGTTAAAAGCGCGAGGTGAGATAAGCCGCGTCCCTAGCGGAAGGCGTGAGACTTGCTTCGCCCAACAAGTTTAAAGTTCTCCCGTTGGCTGAGGAAGTCTAAACCCTAAACCCTGAATCCTATTATTTCGAAACGGCATTCGACTGCCAAAGCCACCGAGCTCCAGACCCGGAGCTTGGCCCGGACCTCCTCCGGCATCGGTGACAGCCCGCCCTGCAGCTCGAGCTCGCCCGTAGTGTTTTTAAAGGGAAGGGGGAGTATATTCGTGCAAATATCAAAAATTTCTGTTATTTTATATACTCTGATTGCATACTGTAATATATTGTTATGTGTTAATACACATCCCTCTATATACGTGTTTGTATACTCTTACATATTGTATTGAGTTTATACTTTATTATGTATTATTGATAGATTACGCATCGTGGTATCTTATATTAATACCAACTACAATATATTGTTGTATTTTCGAAAGAAGAAAAAAGGACTGCAAGGGAATGCTATTCTGTCTGCGGCTTTGGGGCATGGGGTGACTTGGTTTAGGGGCTCCGGCTTCGACTCCCACCGGCACCGAGTGCTAAGACCATACTACTCCACTATCTGGGATTAGGCTACCTTATTTTGGGATCCGTATAATAAGGGTCCTACTATTGAGGGTACTATATTAGGGTCCCCTGTTTTCGGAAACCCCCATCTTCCAGAAACACGGTAATGTAGGTGCCTTAATGATTAGAATAGGGTTTTGGGGCTCCTTTACATTAATAAGACTAGAAGAAGGAACCCTGACAGTAATATTAGTAATTATCTAGGCCTCTTTTGTACCGGCAACTCTGCAAGCAGATCTCGAACAAGCCTGGCACGACTGGCGACAAATGTCTCTGCGATGCCTGGGACCTAAAACTCTAGAAGCCTTTCAGCCGCCAAAGCCTCAGCCAAATTAGTCGATGTCAGGAGCGCATGCATGCATCTATGCATGTGCAGACGTACAAAAGACCTGCGCACAAAGACATACATATATATATATATATATATCTCCCAATAAACTCACGTATGTACATACATATATATTTATATAGATGCTTCATGAACCTCCAACATCCTCCTGCTATCAGCTTGAACTCCCGAACCCCAAGGCCGAAGCTGCTGAGCCGAAACAAAGTGTACGAAAGGCTTTGCGAGCTATCCATCAATAGCGTCCGAGACGAAACACTGAACCCTAAAGCCCAAAATCCCGAATCCCTATAAATCCCAAATGCCTACACCCCTAGCCCTAAAATCTCAAATCCCCACACCCCTTATCCCTAAACTCTAAATCCCTAGACCCGTAAACCCTTTAAACTGCTAAACCATAAATCCCTCAGGCTCAACCCCGAAACCTTTTCAACCCCTTTTAACCCCCATATCCCTACACACTCTAATTAGGGTTTAGGGCTTAGGGTTTATAGGGTTAGACCCCAATACTCACGAGTTTCCAGGAGCCTTGGGCATGGCGGGGCCCTTGCCCTTGCCTTTGCTCTTCGGGGCCGGGGCGGCGGCTCCTGCCAGGGGCTTTGAAGGGGTTTAAGGGTTTAGGGTTCAGGGGAGTCAGAGTTTAGGGTTAAGGGGTCTCAGGGTTTAGGGTTAAGGGGTTTAGGGTTAAAGGGTTTAGGGGTTTAGGGTTAAGGGGTTTAAGGGTTCAGGGTTAAGGGTTTTAGGGGTTACGGCTTAAGGCCTTCATAAAAAGATTGGGAGTCGATTACAGTATCTAAATAGTAAACAACAGGAACTTTGGGAACAAAGAAATAGTGTTCCCCAACGGTCCATGCACCCAAATATATATATATATATATATATACTTTGGCCTTAAAGCAGTCCCTATATAGGTACTTTGGGGCCGAAGTATATACTATATGGGTAATTACACGGACCCATAAGGATTGTTATTGATGCAGACGTATTACAGAGCCGTAGAAGCCGCAGAACTCTTTTGAAAGGGTGCGGGTCTTACGGTGCCTCAGTTACGCTGGAACCCGAGAGCCCGAAACCCCAGAGAGCGCACGAGCCCGGTAAGCCTAAACCAGATCAGACTTCCTTGAGCTTTGGGGGCGATTCCGCTTTGCACTCCGCGGGCTTACGGTACTCAGAACCCTTTTGGCCGTGGGGTTGGAGCCCTGAGCTCTGAGTCTTTCTTAGGGTTCTTTATATGAACCCTACTATGTTTTTGGGGGTTTTAGGGCCGGTTGAGGGGGTTCTGCTTTTCATCCGAATGTTTGAACATCACAGGTCGACGTATTACACCAGGAACACCAAAGTAGCCATTGACTACAGACACGGCACAGGTCCGGAATCCTACATCCCGAGCGCTGCCAGGGTTTGGGGTTCCGGGTTCAGGACTTAGGATTTGTAGGGCTTAGCAGGCAGGGTTTGGAGATTCGGCGTCCCGGGTCCCTCCTCCCACATGGCTCCTGCCGCTGCGCCGCCGGAGCCCAAGGGTGCTGCTGCGAAGTAGTCCGCCGCAGCCTGGCAGCCCAAGAAAGCTCCCCTTGGGCGGATGTTGCACAACCGTAAACCCTGAAATGGGCTTCGGGCTTTTAGGGCCGTTCATAGATGTAGGGCGCTACCCTAAATTCTTTGCGTATCTTTGCGTCACCGATGGCCCCGCATTGTCCTGCAGCTGGTTTAGGGTTTTGGGGACTTTGGGGTTTGGGCGTGGGCGAAGTATCTTTGGCAACCTGCCATGACAGCATTCCCTGACAAACGTCAGCCTTGCAGCTTTCATGCTGGTATTTAGTGAGCTGTGAGGCCATCCAGCAACACCCATCCTCCAACATGAATCCGGGCGAGAGATGCTGATTTGTGTGGATAGTCATGATACCGTCAACAGGCATGGGCATAATATAGGTGCCGTAATACTTAGAATAGGGTGTGGGGTATACTATAGCGCAAGTACGTATAAGTATCACAAGAAAACAAAGGAACACTATTAGTACTTTCCGAACCCGGTACCAATGAGGAAAGCGCCTGTCCGGTGGCGTTCCAGATGATCCCTAGCTTGCAGTTCTCGTTGCACCATTCTTTAAGCTCCTGCAGGTCGAGGCGCGAGAGTTAGATTAAAAAGCCCAACCAATGTAGAAGCCTATGTAAAGAGAGTATTCCTAAAAGTACAAGGGCTCCCGAAAAGGGAACCCTAGCATTAAGAATCCTCGTTGCGACACTTGTCGTCCCACCAGCAACCCCTCATCACCCAGATTACGCAGCCCCGAAAATTCGAGTAAAGAGGATCTTGTAAGAGACGCTGTGTCAGGATAGGTAGGTGTTTACACTGCACAAGCCTATACATCTGCCAATCTATATACACCAGCTAGTTAAGTCCCTGGGCACATACAGAGAACAGAATTGCACGTGCATGCAGGTAGATACGTACATGCATACATGCATACATACATACATACATACATACATCCATGCATACATGCATACCTCCATTGGGCCCACATGCGCATGTACGTACATACAGACAGACCTCCCCACCTACCTACCTTACCTACTGTACCTACCTACCTACCTGCCTGCCTGCCTTCCTACCTACCTACCCACCACCCACCTACCCCTCCTGCCAGCCTTACTTAACCTTACCTAACCACCTAACCTTACCTAGCCTTACCTAACCTAACCACACACCCACCCACCCACCCACCCACCCACCCACCTACATACGTACCTACCTACCTACCTTACCTACCTACCCCCCTGCGTACTTACCTACCTACATACATCCCTACGTACATACGTACATACATACATACACATATACATGTACATATACATACATACTTATATAGACATACAGACATACACCATACACACATACATACATACATACATCTCTCTCTCTGGCCATCGGACGAGTTCGCGACCAAGCCGAGCAAGCAGCACAAAGGTTGCGCCGCATCTGTCTCTAAGACTAACCCGCGGCCCCACCGCAGGATACGACATGGGAACGG